CTCTCTCACTGTGTCAAATAAATAAATAAAATCTTTAAAAATATATATATATTTTTTTAAAAAATAAATGTGACTTGATTCAAATGTGCTTGTATTACTTTGATAAAAATATATTCATTTTAAAAATCTAGAGATAGAGGACTTGTAAGTATTAAAGCAATGGCAACAGAAGAAGAGATAAACAGATCTTAACACCTAAAAGCTGAGAGTCTATATGTCAAAAATTATTTTAAATATACTTTCAAAGCAAATTGGCACTACTGTAATGCTTATTGGCCAAAATTAGTAAATTCATTACTCAAAAGTGTAAGGGAGGAGCAGAAATATTTTGCTGAAGCAACTGTGGAAGAGTAAGGAATATATCCATATTTGCAGAAAAAGAACCCAATAGCAGAATGAGCCTAACCAATGAGCAGAGCAAAGCCCATAAAAGGCTGACATGCAGTGGGAAAAGACCGGCTAAGGCTAGGTCAGGCAGTTCTATGCTGGTCTCAGAAGGGCACATTAAAAGATTCTTCTCGAGATGATCCTATGGACTTCTCAACTTCTAAGATTAGTTTATATACAGTAAAACATGAAATCAGAATCTGAAAAGTGAGACCCAAACACTGGGCTTTCTAAAACAGCCAACAAGAACCAAACTCCAAGAACATTTCCCTCAGAGCTCCTACGTAAAGGGTGTATACAGCCGAGTTGACCACCATTCCAATCCTCATATCCTCAAGTCACTAACTATCCTGAGGAGAAGTGCTTTGTTCACTGGGAAAGGTTCTCACTGTGGGCCTCAAAGACTCACTAAGATAGAGGAAGAGGATGGAAACCAGGCTTTGCTTCTTGGGGGTAAGGGCAATGACTTCCTTAGAAAAACACCAGAACTTCAGCTTGGCTTATCTGCCCCTTGAAGGCAGAAAGTCCCTAGGCCAGCAAGAAGCAGACTCCCCTCCCACCCTGAAATGGATAGGCCCAAAAGAAACTCCATAATCAGGTGGGTCAGAGTGACAGGTGTTCTGGTTTGAGAACGACCTCCGCCATTAGTTCATCAGTTTTGGTCTCTAAATGGTTACTGTAACTTTAAAGGGGGATTTGAGGCTGAGGATCCCTTATCTTCCCCAGAGTGCTTTTAATTTCTCTAAAGCATATAATGAGTCATGAAGAAGGAGGTAGGAGGATGAAGCCCATTCCTAGGAGGTAACACCAGAGTGCACTATCAAGTTTACCTGGGCCAAGGTCCACAGAAGTTTATAAACAGCAGTGAGCTCTATGACAGTGGAAGCACTCACACAGAGAGACAATCATTTACCAAGAAGGCTGTTGCTGGGACTTTGCACTTACTTTAAAGCAGGCCAAGGCTCATCTTTCTGCTGGCTTATTACAGTCTCTAACAGATACCCCACCAATACAATCAGGCTCCTCTCTGGCTCTAAAGAGTCTCTTAATATGCTTCATTTAAAAAATTTGTGAACAGGGGGCACCTAGGTAGCTCAGTTGGCTCAGGTCATGATCTCAGGGTCCTTGGATCAAGCCCCTCGTCGGGCTACACGCTCAGCAGGGAGTCTACCTGTCCCTATCCCTCTCTCTGTGCTCTCTTTCTCTATCAAATAAATGAAAATCTTTAAATAAATATCTGTGAACTGGTATAGCAAAAAGTTCTTAGACTTTTATGATTTCTATTCTAGAATGCAATAATGTATTATTCTGTGCTGCTGAAACCACATCAAGAACTAAGCCTACACGTGGGGCGCCTGGGTGGCTCAGTCTTGTTAAGCATCTGCCTTCGGCTCAGGTTGTGGTCCCAGGGTCCTAGGATCGAGCCCCGCATTGGGCTCCCTGCTCCGCGGGAAGCCTGCTTCTCCCTCTCCCACTCCCCCTGCTTGTGTTCCCTCTCGTGCTGTGTCTCTCTCTGTCAAATAAACAAATAAAATCTTAAAAAAAAAAAAAAAGAACTAAGCCTACACTTTATGACAAATAAAGGAACCTAGCTGCGCCTGCAACTTTTTTGTGCAACAAAATCAGATTTTTTTTCAGGGTAATAACAAGTTGCAACTTCTGTTACCAATCCATCTTTCAACACTAATTCGAATTCCAACCTCCCCTTCTCCCTCCCTTTGTAGAAAACTGCACAATTCTTAGTAGTGAACAAAAAAAGAAACTGCAGGATTAAAATCTGTAGGTTTCGGGGCACCTGGGTGGCTCAGTTGGTTAAGTGCCTTCAGCTCAGATCATGATCCTGGGGTCCTGGGATCAAGTCCCGCACTGGGCTCCCTGCTCAGCGGAGAGCCTGCTTCTCCCTCTCCCTCTGCCTGCCTCTCTGCCTACTCGTGCTCTC